GACTCCTTAGCAAAAAGAACTAAAGAAAGCAAAAGACAGAGAATATTATCAAAGAACAAAGGCTGAAAACTATAAAAATTATTTTTTTATTCGCGGTAAAATTTTAACAGGTTCATTGCCAATAAATGATACTATTTGTCCAAGAATGCTTAACAGTATTTAACGAGGCTGGTACTGTTAGCCAAAATTTCTAGATGATTAAATTTAAAATAGATTGACTACATATCATTTTTATTATTTACAAAGCAATAATCATCCTTGCATCAATCATCACTCAGAGAACGCTGCCATCATTTTGGGAACGACGTGTCCTTTTCGGGAACGCCAAAAAGAAGTCAAAAAAATTGGGATTTTTTTTTGATAACTCATTAGTCTTATCTTGTTGTCAATTTACTTTATTTGCTTATTATAACATACCCTTCTTTTAAAAGTTTATTTAATCTGATTTTATTATTTTTTAGAAAACGTTCTCGAAATGATGAAAATAAGTATTATCTTGTTGTCAATTTACTTTATTTGCTTATTATAACATACTTTTCTTTCAAAAGATTATTTAATCTGATTTTATTATTTCTTAGAAAACGTTCTCGAAATGATGAATATTAATACCAATATGATTATTAAACAGCAAAACTTTAAAATAAATGAAAATTTGGCTTGGCCCTTTCGGTATATCATTAATGAACTATGCCTCTGTTATTGTACATTATAATGACTTAGTAAGTAGCATTTCCTTTTTTCACAAATTTCGTAACGTAAAATGCTCACCTCTCTGATTTTGACCCATAAGTCCTATAATTTTTTTCGTTTTTTATTTATCTATGAAAATGGAATCGCAAAATTATGTTCGATAGTAATAGAAATTATCGAAATTCTCTTCACTACACTCCAAACTAAGCCAAACTTTTAGAAAAACTTTCATGTCAACAGTTCCAGAAATAAGTGCAGAGTTAAGTACAAATATTTTTGAATTATATGAGTATCTATCAAATAAAATTCCTTTTTAAATTAAAATTAGCTGTTTGTTATAACTTTCGCTAACACAAACGGAAATATTACAATTTAAAAAGTACCCATGGCACACAACAGAGTGAATATATCAAAATAATAATTCATGAACAAGTATGCGATTGGTTACAAATTACATAAGGTTCGTTTTATTAAAATTTTAATCGCCCTTACGTAAGAAATCGTAAGATATCTAGTAAAAGAAATTCTGAGTGTAAAGTAGTATTACGTAGTTAATATCAGCAATTTCTTATGCTGAAGTGTACGATGTGTTGCATACCTACCGATAACGTCTTTGTAAATATTTCGTATGGGGAATTTCTCTNTAATTTTTTTGTATTGTGTAGATGTCATTTATTTTAATTTTTTAATTTATTTTCAGCTCTTGGTTGTATTCCAAAACAAAATATCTGATTATTGTTTTGCACGTAAAACTGAAAAAGAGGAACTATTGAAAGATTTAACCCAAGAGTCCAGTAGATCTGCTCCACCTCCTACTCCAAGTACACCATCTTACTACGGTGGTATGGGTTTATTTTTAAATCTTAATAAATTTTTGTAATAAAAATAAATTGCATACTTATTTTTAGTATTAATACAATAAGAAAGTATTTATTGTTTTATGCAGGTGCGAAGCAAGATGAGGCATCTGCTAGTGGAGCTCCTCAAGCACCACCACCTTCTCAAGTACCGACGACATTACCGTATCCTGTTTACGTTACTGGAATGCCTGTCCCCTATGGTGCTTCTGTAAACACTCCATATCCGTCGTACGCTCCGCCTCCGTTACCATCTGGCTATAACCCATACTCTACGCTTCCCTATCCTGGTAAGTGCATTTAAATTTTATAGTGCATATTTTTTTTGGGGTTACACCATGTAGGGATCTTGGTAGTTTCCCTTAGCGAAACAAAACTAACCATTTATATTATGTATGTAATTTATTTAAAGAAAAAAGAATGCATATTTATGTATCTGAACTGAGAATTTATTTACCCTTTGGATGGTTAATAATAATTAAAATTTGTTGTAGCATCTTCATACTATTCAGGATTTCCTCAAGGGCCCCAAAACTATCAAGGACCGTCCAATTATCCACCCCAACAGCCTCCACCAACCAACTATCAAAAACCTCCTGGCTGGTAAGGAAGGTGATGTTATTTCCATGATATTCCTATTTTGTCTAATCCCCCCTATAGTCTCATTTTTTACGTTGTAATCACGTATTTATTAATTTATCTTTAACATTATAATTTTAATCGCAATATACCTGTACACCTTATACACTAACATAGCGTGTCAGATTAAGTCAGGCCTTAAATAGATGGTTCTAGTGTTGTAATTTTTTAATAAATATGTAATTGTTATTGTTAGGAATATTTTGTTATCCATAATCTATTGTGCTGATAATTGTAATTTTAGTGCCTGTATATTATATATTTTTTCTTCATAAAAATGAGTTTACAAAGTAATTGTTTAATTTATCCTTTCACATATTTACGATTAAAATGTCTATTTGAATATTATGAAATGAATCAAAATACGTAGAAACGTTTGTAATAATTTTTATTATAGCGCAATGTTTTAGATTAAAGTAACTGTCCTGCTTTTGTAGCATCAAATAACTGGATACATATTTAACTTATTGTGAGTCTAGGTTTCATGAAAATTTTAAATAATTGAATAAATAAATGAATGAAAACATTTTATCTTTTCACAAATATACGTTTCAAAATTACTGTTATATGTTTCAGTTGTTAAACCATTTTCAAAAATTCTAAACTCAGTGATATTTATTCTTGCAATCTATTTATACGTTGGGAAATATCAATTTCAAAGATTTATTTACAATAGGCAACCTTTAAAATGGCTATTTATCAATTTACAAATGTATTTCAAGAATAAATGTAAAAAAACATTACTTGTGAAAGAAAATCAAGTGCTTTTATTTGTTTGTTTATTCAATTATTTAAATGTGTCACCTACTAGTGCCCAGCAAAATTTCAATCACTATATTGGGGTTGAGGGTTTTTTGTATCCAAATTTAAAGTTATTGCTACCTTCTGTTTCATTTCAAATTAATAACAGATTAATTTTTACGAGACTAGTCCATTTAATCCATACTTTTAAAAATTGGGAACTGATTTTGTATTTTATAAGCATTCGCGCCTAATATTTATGAAATAACGGCTACAGAGATATGTACTATTATTGAGTTTCGTGTTCAGCTCATGCGATGACAGATGGCGCTTAATGTATTAAATGAATGCTTAAAATGACGAAGCTTTTACTATTCTGTCACAGATAGCGCCATAAGTATCACAAATTAATTTTAATTATTTTGCAAGCAAATAAGGAAAGAGCAAAAATAATATATTTCATTCTTAAATTGATTTCGTATTTTAATTTATTACTTAAACTACTTTAAGGTTTATTTAATGCATGCTGTAATTTCAAAACGATTTTGTAAATGTTTTTTTAGTTTTAATTGTTTGTGTTTATATTTTATATTAAGTTTNTATATATTTGTGTAATATTTACAAAAATTAAATTATAAATTATTTGTTAGATAGTTTAGAGACAGAAAAATATGAAATTCTAGTAAATTAGGGTTAGTAATCAACAAGGAAAATAGATTTTAAACTTTTTCTGGATTTTGGTCTTCTACTCCGATGAAAAATGTCTAAACTGGGCAATATCTCCGCACTATCAGGATTAAAATATTTGTGTCGTACAGGAACGGATGCCATTGAATTGGCTACCCCAACGCGATTGGGGGCTCCTTTGAAGGAGCCCCTTCTGTCTCCGATAACGTCTTTGTAAATATTTCGTATGGGGAATTTCTCTGAAACTTTAGGAAAACTACCACTTCCAATTGAATTTTTTCTTCTCTTCTTGATTCCTCTGCTGCCAAGCGTACGTTTTTGGGAATAATTATGGCGACTCTTTTCCAATTCTTTGAAAAAGTTGCGCGCCTTAGTAAACTGATTTTTCATTATGTTTTTGACGTCAACGGTTTCAAATTCTTCTGATGTAACGTTTAATTTTTCACAAAATGTGGCGTCGCCGTTATTACCCCTTTCAGGCGTCTTTCCCTTATCATGTTCCACCACTTGGCGCGTTTTCTTAACACTTCTGATGGAATTGGTTGCCTCAGGTGCTTTAATACAGCTATGATGTGGGGGTGATGTCGTACCTTGTTTGCACCCTCCGTCGGAGTGATGTTCAGACGTGCTTTTTAAAACAAGGGGCTGAGGGTCTTCTTTCACCCCATCCTCCCTTTGTGTTAACGCTAATTCGGATTGATTTTTGTTAGCGTTGACTTCGATTGAGGAAAAAATGTTTTTTGTATGTTTCAAAGGCTTTATTGTGTTATTTTTCCTGTCGTTATCGTTGTTGGGATGTGTGGAATTTATGAGGGGAATGAAATACTTTAGGGAAGTAGAACTTTCCTCGCTGCTATCCAAACAAGAATATTTCTCTAAATAAAATGAGAAAATACACGGTACAGAACGAAAAATGAAAATATGTTTGTGTATTTACCGTGAAACACTCACTCATAAAGGTCGTCCATGAAAATAATTAACAGAAATTAATTAATTAATAAAATGGTATGTTAATTAAAATGCAAAAAAAAAGGAAACCTAAACATACGTTGGAAAATGGGAGTTTCTTTTTATGAATATCTACCCATTTTTTTAAAGATTATAAGGGTCAAAATCAGAGAGGTGAAAAATTGGCTTCTGACAAAGATTTTCTTACTTTAATTAAACTATTATATAATTTTCTTTAATTGAATGTACATTAATCATTCATAATTATAAGCACTTCGAGTAAATATTAGAAAAAGTTAAAATTTGTCTGTATTTTTGAACAAAATTTACCCAAAAAATCATTCCGGGAACGCGTCCGTAATCTATTCCGCGCTGTTCAAACAACAAAAACTTATACATCAAGCAAGTTAATAAAGGTACAGGTAATTAAACAAGTACAGTAGTCTCTCTCTATAACGATTCTCCCTATAACGATAATTCCCCTATAACGATGTACTTTAACACCGATGTTTGGTCTAACATAAGAACAATGTAATTTACTCTCTGTATAACGATATCGCTCTCTCTATAACGATGTTTTCAGAACAATTGTGTTTGTTTACATGTCAATTTTAAAATAATGAGCGGGTGTTTATTTTCAACTTAACTCGCCCAACGATCAGTTCAATACTCAACGTCTTTTGTTTCCCGTTTTAGGCCATAGTGACGTGTGGCATTGAGCGCCTACCGCCTCTATCAATTGTTTTAGTGTTGCGTGTTTACAGTAAATTGAACTTTTGTGTGTGTACAATTGAAATGCTTCCAACAAAGCGTAAGGTGCTCACTGTCGAAGAAAAGATTTCTTTCATCAAATCAATAGAAAATGGCGAAAAACAAACAGATGTTGTTCGACGTACGGGGATTTCCCAGTCGACTGTGGCTACAATTTGGAAGGATAGGAAAAAGTGGCTTGATGCGGGAATAGAAATGGGAACCAAGAAAAAGATTCGTAAACCTCAGTATGACGATTTAGATCGCGCTATTCTACAGTGGTTTAAACAACAGCGTAACAACCACATTCCACTGTCTGGACCTGTAATCAAAGCAAAGGCGGAATTTTATNATTTGATCTGATTTTATTTTTTTTTAGAAAACGTTCTCGAAATGATGAATATTAATACCAATATGATTATTAAACAACAAAACCTTAAAATAAATGAAAATTTAGCTTGGCCCTTTCGGTATATCATTAATGAACTATGCCTCTGTTATTGTACATTATAATGACTTAGTAAGTAGCATTTCCTTTTTTCACAAATTTCGTAACGTAAAATGCTCACCTCTCTGATTTTGACCCATAAGTCCTATAATTTTTTTCGTTTTTTATTTATCTATGAAAATGGAATCGCAAAATTATGTTCGATAGTAATAGAAATTATCGAAATTCTCTTCACTACACTCCAAACTAAGCCAAACTTTTAGAAAAACTTTCATGTCAACAGTTCCAGAAATAAGTGCAGAGTTAAGTACAAATATTTCTGAATTATATGAGTATCTATCAAATAAAATTCCTTTTTAAATTAAAATTAGCTGTTTGTTATAACTTTCGCTAACACAAACGGAAATATTACAATTTAAAAAGTACCCATGGCACACAACAGAGTGAATATATCAAAATAATAATTCATGAACAAGTATGCGATTGGTTACAAATTACATAAGGTTCGTTTTATTAAAATTTTAATCGCCCTTACGTAAGAAATCGTAAGATATCTAGTAAAAGAAATTCTGAGTGTAAAGTAGTATTACGTAGTTAATATCAGCAATTTCTTATGCTGAAGTGTACGATGTGTTGCATACCTATTTACAAACATTTTTTTTAAATTTAATTTTTCAAACAATTTTTAACACAAAGAAAGTGATTAAACAAATTGTTCACAAAAGTGAATTTCGACCACTCGAAGCAATGGTGTTAACAGTTTCGAGCTCACAGTGACAGATACGGAGGAAGAACTTCTATTTATAAAAAATATACCTTCATTACATACCGTTTATTTTGAGTTATTGTAAAAAGTACCTACACACTGTAGTTTTTAAAAATAATTACGTCTATATATTCTTTCTGTTGTGTTCTACAGGGACAGCCCCCCCCCCCAAAAAAAAACGTAAAAAAGTTTATATTATTACCTGAATCTAATGACCGAGGTTTTTCTTTGATTTTTGAGTATTTGATTGAATTCTCGGTAACTGTTGGTTCCGGAGTTTTTTCGAACTTCGACCTCAGATCCTTGACTGAAGGGAAACCATCGGGATGGTTAAGTGACAACTGTCTTGTAGATGGTGTTCCGTCGTGTAAGTCCTCTTGATTTATTTGGCAATTACTGACGGCCTTTTCTGATTTACGTTCGGCTTGTTCGGTTCTTGAAGATTTTATTATTCGACTTGTATGTGTTCCTTCGACCGCTCCTCCGTTGTAGGCTGCAATCGGGATTTTTTCCTCAATAATATCGCTGTTTTGGAATTTCGTGCAGTTGTCGTAATCCACGCTATATCGGGATGCGTTCGTGTCATTTTGGGTTCCTGAAGAGACGGTTAACAGATTTGCGTCGAAAGATTTCAATTTTCTCCGGGGTTTATGTGTTCTCGTGCGTTTGGGGCTTTCGCCAAAATAAATATTCGGATGACTCCGGTGGATTTGGGATGTCACGTACACATTGTTCTGAGCGAGAAGGGATTGTAACGATTCGATTCGGGACACTCTCCGAGATACTGAAAAGTCCTTTGGATAATCGACGTGAGGGTGCTGTCGGTTATTTTCTTTCAAAAAGCCAGACACGTCGGGGAACATTTCTTCATCTATGCTGTGACCCTTTTTAATTATCGAAGAAAAACTTGCAGGCCGATGCACCGTCTCGGATTGTTTGTTAGCAATTGCAATGCCATTTTCTTTTTCACAATGTTCTTTTACAGGTGGTTCAATTATTTCTCGTATTTTTTCTGTAGTGGGACTTGGAAATGAATGTGTATACACGTTTCTTTTTATATTAGTTTCTCTTCTTTCTGTAACAATGTACATTGTTGAAGTCTTACTGTTATTACGATTTTCCGGAAGGATTTGATTTTCCTTTTGTGTTAAATGCAAAAACTCACAGACGGGCTCATCAGGTAGTAGTTCGCTATATGAAGGATAACTCTGTGATTTTGTTGAATAGAATACCTTTCGGTTAATTAATGTCCTTGGCGAAGGCGTTGATGGTTCAGATTTGACCGTTCTCATGGCGGCTTTAGTGGATTTAGTGGCAATAGGCAAATTTAAATCGTCATCCTCGTTCAATTCTTGTCTTTGACTTATAGTTCCTTGTACAGATACTTGTGGACTAACCAATTGACGATTTTGACCTTTTCCTGACATGTTTTCCATTGCTATGAATCTGTCTCGTTTCTCCAAGTAAGAAATACATTTAAGTGTGCTTTTACCATCTGTATTCCCTCTGACTAATTCGTCTTTTTCTATGGATGTTGTAATGGGACTTTCAAATCTTTGGATCATCGTTAATACGGAAGATGGATGACGAGGATGTTTTTCTGAATTGCCAAGTTTATTATTAGTTTCATCATTTAACGAATTTGTAGCTATGACCCGTTTTTCAGCAACAGGATTTTCATTGATGACTGTTGTATTTTCTTGCAGATCTTTTTTTGTAGTTTTTGGTTTGAGTATTGCAGAAGATTCTTCCGGTTCTTTTACAATAAAATCAACATTTTGCGTATCTTCAGTAATAGTTATTTGACCACCATCACGTTTTTCTTCGGTGACTTCGATTAATTTGTTAATTTTGCTCATGAGAAAATCGAGATCAGTATTCAAATCCAACTTCATTGTTTTTTTGTAATTATTCATTTCATAGCTTTTTTGCTTTCTTGTAGACCTTTCTTCTTGTTCTATGTTATCTATTAGATTGTCGACTTTATTTAGAAGATGATCCAAATTTTTATCTAGTTTTTCTGGGTTACTTTTTGCACTTGTTTCATGTAATAAAAGTGCTGTGGTGTCATTTTCGTACTTTTTCTGTTGTTCTTCGTCACCTATAAGACTGTTCACTCTATCCAAAAGGAAATCCAAATTATTATTAGGCGAGTTAATTGGTTTGTCTCTTAATTGTATTTCATTTACCGAATTAGGTATGCTTTCGTTCCGATTTAATTCATAATTAATATAACCGGGGACAGCTTTTTGATTCATTTCTGCGATAATTGTGGATCCATTTTCATTATCTCCATTATCAGAAAGCTTTTTAGAACTTTCTCCGATTACGTTATGGGTACTTTCTTTTGTAAGTTCATCAGTTGTTGGTGTTAGTGTGGATTCTTCTTTTTTTGGCTCAGTTTTTCTTTCTGCTTTCTTTCCTAAGTTTTCATTCTTTGTCAGTACAGAACCATTGTCGCCTAGATGATTTTCCGAGTGTTGTGTTGAAGTTTCTGAAGATCCGAGGAAATTATTTGCTATATTTTCACCACTAACGTGTTTTTCTAAAGGCAGGCCCATGTTTCCTCTATTGCCAGGATGTTCATTAGATTTCTGATTGTAGATACTTGAATCAAAACGATTACGTAGAGAATTGACGTTAATTAAAGCTACATCTTGGGTGTTTAATTTTTGAGAATCTTGATTTGTAACGTATTCTTTTTTACTTTCTTTATTTGGAGTATTCTGACTTTGTTTTGCTTCGCATTTATTATCAAAAATTTCCTTTTTGTTTTTGACCGAGCCCAATTTTGGACTTTTTGTAACACTGTTGTGGTCATTATTCTCGCCCTGATGGTTGATTTTCAATTTATTTTCCGGTTGTGTGTTTACCGAATTGTCATACGTAAAAATTTTCATTTTAACAGAGTTTATGTTCTCGTCCTTTTCGTGTATTTTACCACCATCTGCTCGATTTTTCCAGATATCGATGCCCTTAAAGTTTTCAATGGCGTTTGGGTGCTGCTGGCTTTTATTAAAATTGAACGAATCACCTTCGAATATTTTTCTGGCTTCGGATGTTTTTCCATTAAATTCCTCTCGAAGAATGCCATTTTTGTCTGTAATATTCTTTATTATCTTTTCATTTGTAAACATATTTTTATTCTCTGAGATTTCTTTTGGCGAATACGCCGTAACGCCGCTTTGTTCAGTTATTGCGTTTTTTGTTTTATCAACTTCGCATTCCGTTGAAAAATTGGAAGACGTCTTATTAGATTCTGATGTAATTGTTTTCTTGGAACGAACTGTGGTGTTTCCATCGTCTTCGAACTCCGTGCCCGTTGTTGTGAAGAATGAATTGCTTTCAGCTTTATCGATTCTTGCGTTCTTAGCTGAACCTACTTTTAATTTTCCTTTTTCTATTAAATATGGAACGAATGTTTTATTAAAATTACGTTTTTGAGAATGAATATCATCATCATTATCGGAAACGCTACTGTTATCTATAACGGGCAATTCTTCGATTTGCATGTTATACGTTACATTATATGTATTAGTTGGACTTTTTTTGGACTTCATGTCTGTTGTCAAATTGCCGGTTATAACCACATTTTCGATACTACTTTTACTGGACTTTTGTTCTATATCATTATTTTCTTGTTTTTTGACCCGTTTTGGGGTAGTAATAGCGAATTCTGTTATTGGATTTCTGCCCAAGACAACGTTATAATTTTTGATCATTACAGTTTCTCCTAATCGTTTAGTTGTATGCTTTTCTTCGAAATAACGTATTTTTTCATTCTCATTGCCTTGCTCCTGGGCATTAAAAGTGTTGGTTTTATCACATATAGCTTTCGTAATTTTTCTTCCTTCTATCATATGACTATTATGATTGACTTCATGGTGTTTAACCATTTTCATTACTTTCTTAATTGAGTCAGTAAATCTTTCAAAAGCTATCGAATTGCTCTTCATGAATTTTACTTTGTTGTTGGCGAAGAATCCTTCGTCTTCCAAAGAATCTAACGAAAACTCTTGTATTTCGTCAAAACTGGAACGAAAAAGTTCAAATTTCTTGCAGAATCTTTGGTAATTAATTCTGTTGTACTTCTCAAACAAATTTGGTTCGTTTTGACAACATGTCGATTTGTTAAAGTAATGATTCGATGACAGAGGACTTTCCATAGTATTCATCCACTTGATTTCGTTCAAGGGCTTCGATTTTTGTGGGATGAGATCGCAAGCGAGTTCTGTTTTGGCGACGTCGGCTTCCTTTTGGATCTCTTCAACGTTGCATTCGGAGACAGACACGTTGAAGGGGGATCCCTGTAGGTGACACCCGTCAGTTATTATGCACATGATATGCACGCCCGGATGTTGGGGAACGTATGTGAGTTTAATTCTGTCAGGCTCCTTATTTGCTTCGATACGAATTTTCGTTGTTACGGAATTGCGTCGGGCGTTTCTCAAGAACGGAATTATCGCGGATGTAATACTTCGAAAGAGGTGTTTTTCAGGCCGTGTTTTTACAACCTATAAGGAATTGTGATAAAAATATTTTTAAGTAAAGTCGTAAAAGAAAAACTAAACTCTAATCGCAAAATATGAACAAAAAAGATTAATGGAATACTTCAAGGAACTATGATAAAAGTTTACGCTAAACTAATTTTGATGAATAAAAGATTGTCTTTTGATTAGTATTAAATGAAAAAGTAGAAGATGAATTTTGATGAATGAATAGGAGCGGCGAAACAGGTCGATCCCAGAGTTCTAAAAAGGGGTTGAGGCCAAATATATAATATATTACAAGTAATACTTTAACTAAAACAAAAATACTGGTATAAGGGAAGAAAAAGTAGGGAAAGAGCGAATATAAAGATAGAAAAAGTGGCCGATTTTAGGTATCCAGGAAGTCAGATAAGTCAGGACGGAAGGAGTAGTAGGGATATATAGCAGAGGATAGCGCAAGGTCGCGTCGCCTTCAATAAAAAAAAGTCGCTTCTATGCTCGCGAACGGTTACTTTATAAATTCAAAAAAGAATGTTAAAGGTGTATGTTTGGAGCGCGGCGCTGTACGGGTGCGAAACATGGACAGTGGGCGCGGCGGAAAAGAAAAGGTTAGTAGCGTTCGAAACGTGGTGTTACATGCGAATGATGATACCGTGGATAGAGAAGGTTAGAAATGAAGATGTATTAGAAAGAATAGGAGAACAGAGGACTCTATGAAAGTCAGTAAGAAATAGGCGAGATAGGTTAGTAGGACACCTTCTCAGGCATGAAGGTTTAGTCAGAGACATATTAGAGGTAGAAACAGGAGTTAGGAGGGATAGAGGTAGACCTGGATTAGATTACTGTTCGCAAATAGTTAGCTAAGGATGTGGGTTGTTCTAGTTTTAAGGAAAAGTGAAGATTAGCTCAGGATAGGAAAGAGTGGAGGTGCGTATCCAACCAGTCTTAAGACTGACGACCTTATGATGATGAATCCTTTAAATGATTTGTTTCATTTCTCAAATAGAGCAAAGACATTAATTATTTTCGAATCAGATCTAATAAATGTGTTGGAAATGAAAATGCAAAAAATATGAATCACCATCTCTATCGAGCCTTTCGTGAATGAAAATGTTTATTAATTAAAAGTGATGTCTGGAACTTACCCTTAGTTTTTTTATATCTTCTTCTATGTAGAAAACTCTTTTCTTTCTGTTTCCCTCAGAAGATGTTTTAAGGATGTAAAATGGAGGCAAAGTAATGCATCCGTATGCGTGATAAGGCCCTTGGATGGTAACCAGAACTCCTGTATCGTTTTCTGTCACATTCGGATATAAATAGAAAACGCATTTTTTGTATTGTTCCCCTGTAACCAATCCCATTCCCCTCGCAATGTAGGATGACGTGTATTTAATGTCCGATGAATTTGTTCTCGAGAACTGGCTTATATTCGTTCGAAGCTGGGTGAGGTACATGAAGAACATGAATTCCAAGTTCCCATTGAGATCTTGGTCGAAATCTTCGTTTGTGAAGATCTTTAGAAAAGTATTATTACTCTTCGGTATTTTTTTTATAGTTAAAGAAGTATAAAGGATGAGAGATATATTAAAAGAGTAATTTTCAGGTTAAATAATTTAGTGGTTTCTAATCATATCTCAAATTAAATGGTTCAAATCGAAAAATACATCTTTCGTTAATGCGTAATTGATGACATTCCGCATTGAGAATGTGTGCGGGTGTCATTTGGTGATTTTTTTGACTTGATTGCATCCTTTTTGTCAAATTTATTGTTGGTATGGCTTCTTTGGTCTAGTTGTCCAACTTTTCCAAAGATATTGGGCAAGATTTAGTATGACTTGACTGATTTGTTTTCATTCTTTCTGAGATATGGATAAACCAATGAATTATTTGACGTTGAAGTTGTTCATTTATTCTTTGTATCACTTTATGTATTTTTTAAGGATTTTCTTTCTGACGTGAACAACGAAAATATCTGATTTTTTTGGATGAATCATTGTAATAATACGATGAAAATGCTATTTAAGTTCGAGTCAAGAAATGATTTGATTTATGGGTTATGATTGATATTTTAACGATAGCGACCAATGAAAATGTTTATTTACATATAGTGTACATTAGAGGGGAAGTATAAATATTCAGAAAGGCAGTTTTTCTCTTCCAACTCATTCTTTTTTGATAAGAAATTCTTATTCATGTATGTTCTAATCACTGAGCACTTTAAAAACCATGAAAATAATGAAATCGCCATAAAACATCAAGCCAAGAAAGAAACACAAGTAAAACCAGAATCTCCTATTGGTTTTACTTGCCAAAATGCTGTTAATATTGACTGTGACGAACAAAAATGCTACAGTCAAATGAACACATTAAGGAAGTGCATCATTTTATTATTGTTTGATGAGATCTATAAATGTATTACACAAAATAAAACTACTACGAATAAATCCGATTTCAGCAAGCATAAAAGTTTGCTTTTATTCTGTTTCATATAAATTGTGATTATTCCTTTGCTGAATGTCAATGTCAGTGTCAATGTCGAGGTCGATCTCGGTTTAATTCTAGATAAACAAAGCAATCGGTGAAACTGTTGAAACGACATCGCGTTCGGGCATTTGACGACGATTTGCTTCGCGGTTTCGTTCTCGGTAGCTCTTGCACGCGTGGTTTTGTGATAAAAAAAGCATTATTAGTGTGTTTGGTGTATGAATACTATATTCTCTTTTGCCTTATCTGAGCAAGTACTACAGTGTGTTTCATTGAACATTATGAACAACTATGAAGACGCCAAATAGCTGACCAAGGTAAGAAAATTCTAACCTCAAAATGCACGTGTTGTTTTTTTACTTGCACATTTTACGTTGTGAGAGTTATTCCGTTTGCCACGCAAAATTGTTTTAAAAAAAACTTGTAAGCAGTAAACACTTACTGTTAAAAAAGTAATAATTACATCTGATTCCAGTTTCGTATTTCTCTTATTTTGGGTTAGGTAGAAATAGAAATTGCCTACAGCATATCCAGGGTAAACAGGTCTTGTTTAAGTACTTGCGATTATATTTAATGTTGAAATCAGATATAAAGTTAAGGAATAAATACTTTATTGGTCTGGTTTTCAATTAAGTAAAGTATTAATAAAACTTTAGCTCTAAACTGAATAATAATTTTACACACCGTGAATAAAAGCAAAAAGCTGAATGATTTACAATAAATATAATAAACAAAATGCAATTTCAAATGCTCCACTTAAAGACTTCGACGTAAGAGAGGAGGTAGGTACTCCACTTTTAAACTTAAACTTGTATTTCCCCCACATTATTCTTAAAAATCATAATGTATAAACGGTTGGTAACTCAACTAAACAAACCAAAAATTTTACCAAAAACGTTTAAAAGAATAATATCTATCCGTTTTAACACCCAGCGTTGTCAGAAAAGAGTTCCAGTTTGTGGCTGTATTTAAGGATGGCACGGGTATCAACTTTAAAAAAAAAATTAAAAAATCACATTGAAGGTGTTTATAGTGTCTGTTTTACTTTATTACCTTGACTATTGTTTCGTTTCTTTGCGGCTTCTTTAAAAGTCACAGGCTAAACTAAATTCTTATCACTTAATGTAGATTCAGTTACATTAGATAATAATTTCTTGGTACAAATTCTATGGGGATAGAATAATGCGCTCATTGATCCTCTTTTTTTCGAAAAACAGTCTAGAAAGGAGTAATAAGGGTCAGATTTTTGACCACTCTCACACTGAATGTTATAATTGTAAAATGCTTGTACTGCCACTGATAAATACTATTTTGGTATATTAGGGGGTCATTCAAGTGTTACGTAAGCACCAAAGGAGGTGGGAGAATCTTTGCTTTGGTTATTTTTGATGACATGGGGTGGGGGGAAGCCTGGGTAACGATTACGTCATCAATATAAAACCTCCAGCAACAAACATCCAAAGTTATCGAAAACTTGGAGTTATGGATTTAAATATCATGGATTTAGGGCGATTAATTTGATTTTACTAAATTATTAACTAGAAAAATAGAAAATACCACAAATGGCGCGGTAAACGCCATCTGTAGTACGATGCTACATTTTAGGATTACACGTATGCTCTAACAAGGTCCGTTTGTATGGATATCTACTTCCTGAAACAAATCCCGGCGTAGCTAATATCAACGTGATAGGCACGTTACCATAATCGATTAAAATAATTCGAAGTGGTCTGCATTCTGTCGAAACTGCAAGACGCGGATCGCGATTTCGGTAATCCTAAAATGTAGCATCGTACTGCAGATGGCGTTTACCGCGCTATTTGTGGTATTTTATAAAACGTTAAAAGCAGGTAAAAGTTGGTCTGCGACGCGCTGATGAGATCCAAAACGATCGAAATCGCGATCCGCGTCTGGCAGTTTCTACAGAATACAGACCACTTCGGATTATTTCAACTAGAAGATTATAATATTTAAACACAAAGTTAATATTTTGCTTGAATAAATATTAACTACTCAACCGATCGTAATGAAATTTTGTACACACATTATTTGGGATACAGAAAAGGACATACGGTATCCTTTATCGAGAAAAATAATACTGTTCCTGAGGGATAGAAAAATTAATTTTATGTCGTCCATTTCACCCCCTAACTACTTTACCGATCATCATGAAATTTTGTCCACATATTGTTATCTAGAATAAGATACTGTTCCCGAAGGATACAAAAAATTGTTTTATGTGATCGTCGTTGATCTTTCACACGTCTTTAGGACATCAATGCGGGCGAAACCGCAGGAAAAGTCTATAAATTCCCTATTTTCAGACTTATGAATAACAATAAAGAAGAGATTTAAAAAAAAAAATATAGCAATGTTTACGTAACTATATGAGGATAAGAGCTTTGGTACTTTTGCTGACAAGGGGGGCTCTTAAAAATTACTAAAATTCTGCTTACGTAATACTTGAAAGACCTTTTAGGATATCCTTAAATTCTATGTGCGGAGGAAATTTTGATGTCAGTTACGCTGGAAATCTGTTTCGTTCCTTCTTCCTGGATTTTTTTGACCTATGAACTAATCGTTTTTACAATTATCGTTTAACGACATCGATTCCCCGGAACAAATATAGTTATGAAACAGAATGCTCCGAGTCCAGACAACTGTCACGAGGCATCATAAAATGTATGATAAAGACCTGAACGTGAGCATGGTATGAACATAAATGAGTTGATTATATGATAAGTGCGGAACCACGTATTTAACCGTTGCATGCAATATTATTCATGTAACAAAGATCGATAAATGAGATGGTCGTAAATGTTTTGGCTGATGTACGCATGTATATGTGTGTGTATGATTGGTTTACCGGAGCGAGTCCGAAATATTTGTAGGCGAGCGCCTGTCCATGAGTCGGCGGTTTGTTCCGATGCCGATGGGGATTTGGACACGCGCCCGGAACTGCGGAATTTATCAGAGTGCATAACAATGAGCCATCCTTCCAGACGTCGTCGAGCGTTAATGAAATGTTCATGGGACACGGCATCCAGCTCGGCATTATGCCTCTCTGCGCCCATTTCAATAGGTGCTCACGCTTACTCAACGAGGGACATAACGCTGAAAAAAACGAGTACCTAATACTTGTCGTTACTTGCGTGGTGATACGCATACCCAACGAGACCGAGTCAGAAATAAAATACGCGTCGCAAAAATGCTAAGAGATCCCTTGAAAAAAGAAGGAGTTATTCAGAATTACCCACAGGACTTATAGGAAGATGCAGAAGTGGGAAAACATTCTTCTTTATAAAATGCATTCAGCTAAAAATAATTAGTATTTTCTTTCTTAATGGAACATTTATAGCTTAGGTATCATTTCATAGATTTTAGTAGAAACTTCTATATAGGTGGAGGGTATTACGATTTCTTCTGTTACGAAAAAGTGTTACGGTTGCGTGGAGAGGGTGGACTGTATATCGCTTGGTTTAGTGGCGCAGCGGCGGAGGGAGAGAAAGGCTGGCGGCGGCGTAGAGAGGGCAACAGCTGTATTAGATAGATATAATGCGCAGCCGTGCGGAGAGTCCGCTAGAGTCTCAGCGGCGTGTGCTGTGCTCAGCTGTTATTTTCTCACCTCTGCTCTCCACGTGGCTCGGCATCATTGCCTCTATTTGTAGTCTGTGTAAAAACCAAATTATAATTTGCAGTAAACCTGTGAAAACGAAATGTGTGCTGGGACACATAGAAGTGAAACTTCAACGGACAAGTGGAAAAACGAATGGTAACGGACAAGTGGAAAAACTAATCGTAACAAAATTTTTACTTGAAGTTTTACGGGCAGATTTTTAAAATGGACAAGTACATTAACAATCTGCCCTAAAACTTGAAGTAAAAATTTTGTTGCGATTCGTTTTTCAACTTGTCCATTGCCATTCGTTTTTCCATTTGTCCGTTGCCATTCGTTTTTCCACTTGTCCGTTGAAGTTTCACTTCTACTATGTGTCCCAGCACACATTTCGTTTTTTTTTCGAATACGGCTTGTCATAAGTTTTGAGTGACATTAATTTCGATATTCCGTTCAGGTTTTGCAGATGCAATGTTGCGGCAAACAACGCTACGATTCCGCGATCACTCCACAGTATATTTCCAATTTCCGTCGATAACCAATTAACTTACGAGATTTGCTTGCTAAGCTGACGAGGTCGGAATAGTAATTAAGATGCAGTGCTCAAAATACGCCTCTTCATTTCATATTTAATTGAAAGGTATCCGCATATTAAGTTCGAAATGTTGCTGTGTCCTGTCCGAAGGAACTCGTTCGTTTACTCGCTTCAAATTATTCAAATCACTGACCGCACACATATAAAAAAAAAGCAAAATCCATAGGATAGGTCTCATATAAAAATGACTAAATATAAATGAATTGGTTGTTAACTACTACAGTTATTAGTTTTCTAAAAAGTTGATCGCGGATTTGCAAACTGGGATTCAAAATTGTAATTTGTTAGTTATCTATTATCCGGCTCGAAGGACCAAAACAGCGGGAGTAAAAACTTGCGTATATTGTCGTTTTAAGAGCATTTTATAGATTCTGGAATGGTCCCGAAATATAGAAAATGGTTCCTGCATCTAGACGCTTCCTTTATTTGGTACATCAGTCGCCTATGTTGGGCAGATGAAGAGAAAAACATTCACAAATAGGTACTTAATGTTATGGCGCCGTGTAGCAGTGAATTATTTTATGTAGTATGGTTTCAATTATTATAAAGTACTATTAACGGGCTTTGAGATAATGCATTATCCAAAATTAGGCAACTGTCCAAAATTGGCGATTTTCCTTTAGTATGCTCTGGTATTATAATTTAGCGACGTATTGCCTGCATGCTTTTGAAGTAAAGTTGAAGTTAAATCGCGCACACGGGTCCGAGAACTCGACAAAAACGCGGACAAAGTAACGACTATAACGGCGAAAGCACCGTCGTTGAAAGTGCATTGAAATAAATCCAGAAAACGTACACAACTAACGGTTTGAACTAATGACCCGTAATGCAATAAAGGCGAATGCATTACGCGGCAACCAGAATTTATGGTAAATTGCGGCAACTGCATCTGTCTTTTTAATCTCCATCGCCTTGATAATACTCTACGTACCATTTGCCATCTCGAGAATAAATCGATTTTATATATTGTTTTGCCTTTAACTAATGATAATGAAAAAGAAATTTAGAGCAAACTGTACTTAATTTTTTTGAAAATTTTTTGCTAATATTGTAAAGGCTTCAATGTGTCAAATTTACAAATTAATAAACAATACTTAACCGTAAATGTGTAGTTATATAACAAAAAAAACGAAATGTGTGCTGGGACACATAGTAGAAGTGAAAGTTCAACGGACAAATGGAAAAACGAAAGGCAACAAAAGTTTTACTTCAAGTTTTAAGGGCAAATTGTTAATGTACTTTTCAAATTTGAATACCTACCCGTAAAACTTGAAGTAAATTTTGTTGTGATTCGTTTTTCAACTTGTCCGTTGAAGTTCCACTTCTACTCTGTGTCCCAGCACACATTTCGTTTTCACAGGTTTACTGCAAATTGTAATATGGTTTTTAGACAGACCGCAAATAGCGGCAATGATGCTCAGCCACGTAGAGAGCAGAGGTAGGAAAACAACAGTTGAGCACAGCACACGCCGCCGGGACTTCAGCGAACTCTCCGCTCTCCGCGCGGCTGCGTATTATATCCATATAGTACAGCCGTTGCCCTCTTACCGCCGCCGCCAGCCTTTCTCTCCCTCTGCCGCTGCCGCCTTTCACCACGCGATATACCGTCTACCCCCTGCAAGCGGCCGTAACGCTTTTTCGTGACAGAAAAAATCGTAACACTCTCCGTCTATAAAGAAGTTTCACTTCAAAAAAATATTTTTTTAATTATAATATTGCAATTATACGTTTTTGGGGACTGATATTGGGGGAAATCAAATACCCGGAAAAGCGGGAAAGATTCGATCCCCATGACGAACGAACTATTTACACCATTACAAGTTTGTAGGAAAATCTCTCGGTGGGCAAGTCCGATTCGCATTTTTTTTAAACTAAAAGTGTTAGTTCACACCCCCGCCGGGAATCGAACCTGCGACCTTCGGCTTTACGCATCAATGCTTTGACCACTAAGCTACTACAGAACGGTAACAAACTTTTCCTCATTAATTTGAGGTAACTTGTAGAGGATAAAAATTGAGAATGAATTTTCAAATTAATTTTTAATATTAACCACTAGGAATTTCAGTGTGTTTAAGATTATTAGTTAACATCTTCTGAAAAAAATAAAATATCTTTTACTTTGCTAATAAACAAGTAACATTGATGTAATTTGTGAGTTCTAAATTGTACTTCCTATTCGGTGTTATTGTATCTCAAAAGGGCGTTCTTAATCTCCATAATCAGAAGTTATTTTTTCTCAAAAATATTGGTAGTTTTTCTTTAGAAGGGGTTGTAAATAGTTAGATTGGACGAGGCACTTACCTGACAAACATTTCTTGTCAAGATTCAGTAAGAGTCTTCCAAACAAATCTCGACGTCTCAAAAGAAGAAACGATGAAACAATGGGAATCAATATTTCTAAGAAATAAGGGGATGCGCTCCAATAATCGTTACTACTGCTGCTATCTGTTGCTCTTGTGACCACCGTTGAATGCTCAACGGCATCTGAAACAAATAGTGCCTCATTTGGTTTTTGATCTTTATTGTTTTATGTAAATTGGTTCGTCATAAAAACATCACATGGATTTAATCGTTCATTTCGGCCGCGGTTCATCACATCAAACCGAATCTTCATTCTAAAAGTATTTATGTTTATGAGATGTTTCTCTTTATGATCTTAAGAACCGTCAAAAAAAGAATAAGTTTCTGGTTGCGGGCCTTTTTAAGATTCTAAGAAATTTTACAAATCCGTATCTAATTTATTATTCTTTAACAGTTACATACCAGAAGATTCATCTTGTTTTTTCTCAGCATCACCTTGACTCATTTGTACTAGTTGTAGAGCACGCAAAACAAATGACAAACGCAAACATTGTAAGTACAACGCAAGCGTTTAATGAGTGATTTAACTTTGTTGATGCACAAAACCTCACGCAAAAGTGTACGCCTCGATCTAGATTGTCACAATTACCTACCGTTATCAGTGAGATGATTATGTAAATAAAAATTGCCTTGTACATACACGTTTGCTGAACGACGTTGATAAAACATTTCATTTTTGTAGATTATAATTGTTACCTTATTATTAAAGTCAACGCGCACTATGTGGAATCGAACAGAACAGAAGCGAATAGAAGTGCGGAGTAAAAATAAATTTCATTTATTCTAACAGATTTTTCGCTAAATTGTCGAATTTAAAGCACATGTATTTTCCGTTACAAGTTCTATAGTTGTAAGATATAGGTTTTGAATATGAATCCATCCTGTCTACTAAAATTCTTTCTACATATTTTGAAAAACGTAGGTAGCGAAACTTCTCGCTTCTCTTCGCTTCGTCTACCCATAGTGCGCGTTGGACTTTACAGTTTACAATGTACAAAATTCTCAATTTACGAATTACCTTTAATATTGTTAGTTGTTAGAGAAAATATCAAAGTATATATCATAAAGTTTGCTAGGATAATATGGCACAAATATTGCTTGCAAACCACTGGGACATTTATTTATAAATGGGTAGTTCTACACTAAGCGGTTGAAGTATGTGGAAGTATCATTTACCGCGCGACGTATTTTAATACTGAAAAGTACTACACAAATTTGTAACACAAAATAAGGAAATATAAGAAACAAATAAAACAGTGCAGAATAAACTAAATTTTACTATTGTTAATTGTTTTAGTGGCCAAATTACGAATAACAGTCGTTAATGACAAAGTGTAAATACGGTGTATTGTGTGTTAAAGGTCTTAAGAAGACACGACCTGGTGTTTATCTTGTCACGCTTATCAGTAAAGGCACTTTGTGTTTTTTTGCGTTCTTATCGGCAAAAATATTTTGCGACATTTTTAATTTATTGTGCCGCACATTCCTTAAATGTTTGACTTTACCTGTCATAAAAATTGTTCTAAACATAATTGATACGTTTCACAAACTAGACATGAATGGAGATTATGTTATACTAATGTAAACTGATGTCGCATTGTGTCTAATAACACGTATGTTTTAATTGGTATTTTATTAATATATGCTACATTAATAAATAGGTACTAGAACACTGTTTCTTCAAACATTTTGGTTCGTGACCTTTTCCGCATTCAAAAAATTTTAAAGGGCCTAAAAACATTTGGACTGTACTAGACTTGCACAGTTTTCAATTGAAAGTGTCTATACACTTCGCCTTATAAATTACATAAGCAATAAAGTGTTAATAGTATCCTTAAATAAAATGGAAGCTGTATTGACTAAAACAGTATTGTATGAAAATATATAAAAGTAAAACAAAGATACTGCTATGCAAGGGAAAAAAGTAAGGAAATAGGAAATATCAAAATAAGAGACGAAAAATTAGAAGAAGTTGCCGATTTTCAGTATCTAGGAAGTCAGATAGATAAGCCAGGATAGAAGGAGCAGTTGAGGATAGCGTAAGGTTGAGTCACCTTCAACAAAGAGAAGTCACTTTAATGCTCGCGAACGGTTAATTTAGAAATTCTAAAAAGATTGTAAAAGGTTAGAAGCGTTCGAATAGTGGTGTTACAAGATTTTATGGAAATCAATAAGAAATAAGCGAGATAGGTTGGTAGGACACCTTCTCAGGCATGAAGGGCTAGTCAAAGATATTGTAATGTTCGTGGGTTTAACAAATTAACTTTTAAGAAGAAAACTATTTATTTACACTAATTATTATTAAACACTATTAAATTATTAGTAACGTAGGTAATTATTCTATTTATTTACACTACTGTCACTATTCACTGTGCTATTTATTTTTTTATTCACTTCTACAACGGTCAATTTATTTCTACTCCACTTGGCGATCGTCTCTTCCTTTAAATACTCTTTTGGTCCCTTTCGGGAACCTTCTCGAAACGTCCGGAAAGTTTATTTTTTATTTGAACTGTTTAACTGCTTTCCCAGCACGCAGGTACGACACACACATTTACAAATACGGCGCACATGAAGAAAAGAGCCCGCGGCTAGCCGGCGAATCGATAAGCCGCTCACACACACGTATGCCCGATCACACACAAACACGCTCGTGCTCGCTACAATATACTAAAAGGAGAAACAGTAGTTAACAGGAGTAGAGGTAGATCTAGATTACTGTTCACAAATAGTTAAGGATGTTGGATGTTCTAGTTCTATGGAAATGCGAGTATTAGCTCACTATAGAAAAAAGTGAAGGTGTGTCTGACCAGTCTTAGGACTGACGACTTTATGATGTATACATTCGCAAGAGTCGACACCTACATTTTGTCTTAGTTTTATCAGTGTGTGTTTTTATGTCTAAAGTTCACTTGTCTCATCCGATACCATGTGCGAATAACAAATTAATGACTCAAAAATATTAGCAAATGATTATAGACACTAGAAACGACCACTTCCTTAACGCTGATAATTTGAGCCAGTTTAGATAAAATCGTTAAAAAGATAGTAATTTATACCTAAATTCAGTTCCTATAATAAATATTTAAAAGATATCTCAATAAAACGAAAAAGACTAAAACTAGTCTATATGCTTCTACTTGTGTATTCTGTTTTTCTTTCTTGGAAAGCGCTTATCTAACGCAGTTGCGATAGAAGGACCCTTATTACATTAATTTCCAGGATAATGCTTACTCTAATCCAAAAATAGGAGCGGAGGCTTATCGTAGGCGCACAGGAAACATCCTAATCTCCAATTATTCAAATTAAGTTACCTCTCTCCACACAGCTGATAAGACTGGCATGCATTAATAAATTTGCCTTGCAGATTTCTCTGTACCAGTCGACCAACCTATCAGCCAACATCCCCTTCCGAACACAAACCAAATGTATTTATTGAACAAAAAACACGCTCTATACTTATTCCTATAAAACTCAATCAGAGACTCTAAAATGAGTTTTTCGTATGTAGGAATCTACCTAAATGAAATGCCTGTAGAATTCTCAAGTTCTTTTTTTTAATTTAGCTAGATATCGAAGACGCGATAAACATCATTGAAGACAAAACAACTTTAGGGATTGATATACAGGGGTAAATGATTAATATGCTTAGATTTGCAGATGATGTAGCAGTATTAGCATCTAGCAAGGAGGAGTTAGAGATAGCTTTAATTAAAATGGAAGTGGTAATGACAAAACAGTATTGTATGAAAATAAATAAAAGTAAAAAAAAATATTGATATGTAAGGGAAAAAAGAAGGCAAGAAATTAGAAGGAGTGGCTGATTTTCGGTATCTAGGAAGTCAGATAACTTAGGATGGAAGGGACCAGTAGATATATAGAACAAGCGAAAGCGCAGGGTCGAGTCACTTCAACAAAAAAAGTCACTTCTATGCTTGCGAACGGTTAATTTAGAAATTTGGAAAAGATTGTTAAAGGTGTATGTCTGGAACGCGGCCCTGCACGGGTGCGAAACATGGACGGTTAGCGCGAGGGAAAAGTAAGGTTAGAAGCGTTCGAAATGTGGGGTTATGGGCGAATGATGAGGATACCCCTGAGGGAGAAAGTTAGAAATGAGGTGGCAGAAAGAATAGGAGAAATGGGCAATATAAATTGGTAGGACACCTTCTCAGGGATGAAGGGGTGGTTAGAAACATAGTAGAAACATAAACATGAGTTAAGAGGAGTAGAGGTAAACCTAGACTGGATTACTGTTCACAAATGGTTCAGGAAATAGTTTAGAGAAATAGGAAGATTAGCTCAGGATATGAAAAAGTGGACGTGCGTGTCTAACCAGTTTTATGGTTGACCACCCTATAAAGATGGCAGAGTGGCTAATTGAAACATGATAAAGTAATTGAAAATTATTGCCTATCACTTTGGAATTGCTTACAGAATTGATTAAATTAAATAAATATTTATGTACCTGTATCTTAATTAGTAGGAATAATTAAATGTCTNTACACCCAGTGATTATCATCTGTTCTCAGATTTGAAAAAACCCTTACGGGGTGTTCGATTTGAAAGTTTAACTGATGTAAAATGTCCCATAAATAGGTGGATTGAGGAGACACCGAAAAAATTCTTTGAGGACGGCTTAAAAAAATTAGTGTATCGTTGGGATGAATGTATTCAGTTAAATGGAGATTATATTGACAAACTACATTGTAATATTGACGAAAATTAACAAAATAATAAAAATTATAGTTAAATTCCCAGAACTTTAGAAACATCCTTCGTATATAGGTACTGGGTGTTTAGCACATAGTTTGCCAAATTGAAAGAGGCGATAGGAGGGGTCATTTGCTATCTCCTCAGCCCCCATAAAAATTGTAGGCCCCACGGAACTTATTATGCCCTATCCCCTTTCTAATGGTATACAGTATGCTATGAAAAGTTTTTATACTTATTTGTAATTCTATGGGCTCTTTCTTCCGAATTAAAGAATTTGCTTAGTTATTTATACTGTTTGTCCATGTGGTGATATATATATTACTTAAAGTACATATAAAATTCGTTAACTATACAAAAATATTAGAAATGTAACATCAGGTTGTACCGTGATGGATGCAATTGTAAGATTTAGCAAAGATTTCTTTTAATAGCAGTTTGGATCACATTTTATTGAGTTTATATATACGATAAAGTGTGTCAACGACTGAAGTATTTTAAGGACGAAAAGGAGCTTCTTTATCTTATTTAGTTGTTGTTCCTTTTGCTTAAAAGCTTGGGCAAGGTGGACCCATTTATACTGGAAACTTATTTAAATAAATAAGTTTGTATTTTTTGATTACTTGGGGACAAAAATAAACAAGATGTAGTTTAGGTTATCAGAACAGAGCATTTTACAATTAAAAGGATTATGTCACGTTTTAATAATAATGGGGGCATTGTAATATTGTTAAATTTAATAATTTTAAACAATCTTACAACATTTGTCAAATAGTTTTGTTGGAATGTTGTGAGTGACTTTGTCCTTAATTAATACTTTAGATACTAAATGTTTTATGGAGGTGATCAACTATCTAATG